AAACTTATAACTGACAATGGCTTAGAGTTTTGTAATCACAAGTTTTATAATTACTCTAAGTCTAAGGGCATAGATAGGCACTTGACCATTGTAAGAACCCCCAACAGAATGGGGTAGCTGAGAGGATGAACTAGACTCTAATGAAAAAAGTGAGGTGCATGTTGTCCAATGCACAGCTTTCCAAGAGTTTTTGGGGTGAAGTTGTGGTGACTGCATGCTACATAATTAATAGGAGTCCTGCCACCGCCATATGACTTAAAACATCTCAAGAACTTTGACAATGTAGTCTCCTAGATTTCACACACATGAAAGTCTTTGGGTGTTGAGCTTATGCTCATGAAAATGAGGGAAATGTAGAACCTAGAGCTAAGAAATATGTTTTATTAGGATATTCCGAGGGTGCAAAAGGATATAAACTGTGGAGTCTAATGTTGATAACCCTAAAATCATAATGAGTAGAGATGTGACATTTGATGAAAGTTAAATGGGGTATGTGGAGAATAAAACTGATAGTAGCCCTAGTGACCTTGTAACCATAGAAATTGTTTTAGCTCCTTCTATCACTACTTTGAAAAATAAACAAATAGTTAAAACACTGATAGAACATGATACTACTATTATGGAACAGATATGAGTTTGCAGACTTGATATCCTCTAGCTTAGTAGTTGCTAATGAGTTTCCTAACCAAGAACTACAAACTTTCAACGAAGCCATTAATGATAAGAACAATGAGAAACGATAGGCCGCAATGAAAGAGGAGATGGATTCTTTAAAGAGAAATAAAATATAGGAACTTGTTAACAAAGCATTAGAAGCTAAAACAATGGGTTGTAAGTGGCTTTATAAAATTAAGCGAGGATGAGGAAAAACATAGGTTTAAAGCTGGATTAGTTGCTTAGGAGTTCACTCAAAGAGAGGGCATAGACTATGATGATGTTTTTTCTCCGGTTGTTAGACATACTTCCATTCTCATCTTACTTGCTTTTGTTGCCCAATATAATCTTGAGCTAGAAAATATGGATGTTAAAACTGTTTTCTTGCATGGTGAGCTTGAGGAGACATTTACATAGAACAACCTCCTAGGTTTGATGCTCTCAAACAAGAAAATAAGCTTTACCTCCATAAAAGATCGTTATATAGTTTAAAGCAACCGCCTCGTCAATGGTATAAGCATTTTGACACTTATATGATTTCAATCAACTGTAATAGAAGTAAATATGATAGCTGTGTTTATTTTAAACAAGTTTCTAAATCTGATTTTGTTTATTTACTTCTATATGTTGATGATATATTGATTGATTGCAAATTCATGAATGAAAAATAAAAAGTTAAAGGATCTTTTAAGTAGACAATTTGAAATAAAAGATTTAGGGCAAGCAAAAAGAATTTTAGGGATGGATATAACTAGAAATTGAGTTAGTAATAAGTTGTGCTTGTCTTAAAAGAACTACCATAGGCAGACTAGTCAAAACATTAGGTTTTCAAGGTAGAAGGAAGGTTAGTACTCCGTTTGGGAAGCATTTTAAAATGCCTTCAATGATTCACCTAAGACACCAATGATATTGATATGCTTGATATTCCTTATGCTAGCACGGTTGAGAGTCTTACGCATGCTATGGTACGTACTAGACTCGACCTTGCTCATCCATTAAGTATTGTTAGTAGATTTCTTGCTCATACTGGAAAACAACACTAGAATGCTGTAAAATGGATTTTAATATATCTTGCATTTCATTCACATTTATGCCTTGTTTATGGTGGAGCAAATGCAACTGGCAATGATAAAATAGGTATAGAGATATAAGTGTATGTGGATTTTGATTATGCTGCTAATATTGATAAGCGAAGAACTTTGACTAGTTTTGTGTTTAATTTTTTTTATTACACTATTAAATGGAAAGCATGCTTACATCCTATAATTGCTTTATCTACTATTGAGTCTGAATACATTGCATTAATTGAAGCTATTAAAGAGTCTATTTGACTTAATGACATAGTCTCTAAATTGTGTGACTGCATTGTTAATGTTACTGTATTCTGTGATAGTCAAAGTGTCATTTGTTTGTCTAAAAATCATTCTCACCATGAAAGAATTAAACATATTGATGTTAGATACCACTTTATTATAGATACTATCAATGATGATTTAGTTTTTGTTAAAAAGATATCAACTGATTTAAATACAGCTGATATTTTTACTAAGACGTTGCCTAATTGTGATAAATTTAACCTATGTGTGAGAACGTTGTAGCTTGATACAAAGCGAAGATGTTGGTTGTGTATGGTAGCAGGCTTCGTCTTAATTTCATGAAATTATTAATCAATGTAGTGATTGTTAAATTTGTCTTTAATAATTTCATTAGAATTTAATTAAGGGACAATGGCAAATATGTCAAAACATTTAGTAAAATTATCAAAATACGAACCATATTTACTTTTTTCAAATATAGCCTTTGTTAAAAAAAGAAAAAACAGGGGTCGAATTTTAAAATGACAACTTTACCCAAATGATATACATCTGTAATATATTTGACTACTAATATATGCATGTGATATACATTTGATATCCTACTGATATGAATGTTTGATATACTTCCAATATGTATGTGATATACATATGATATACTACTAATATGAGTGTCTGTGCAATATGTATTTGATATACATCTAATATACTAATATGAATGTTTGATATACAACTGATATGCGTATCTGATATAATAATATAAGTTAAAGTTTTTGCTATATTCGAAAATTTTAAGAATAGGTGATATATTTTTAAATATATAAAAGATTTTTGCTACCCACTAAAAACTATCCCTACCAGAGTGTTTTTGTTGCATAATTTGTGTAATATTGATGGGTCAACGTGGAGGTCCTTGTCAAAAGCGCTAGAAAAAATATAAACTAGCAAGTTATGGGCTTGAGCTGTTAGAATTCTTAATTTCAGCAATTTGATTAATGTTGAGCTTAGTCTTTAATATTTTTTTACACGAATTGTAGAATTTGGGGATGGCTCAGCTGAGTGCTGCATAGATTGTCGATGACGATGCTGGAGCCTAAATGAAAGAGTTTCTATGTGGGAGCCTATCGAGTCTGCCGGATGCTCTAGCACGGTGACTATGCAATAATTGATTGCTATAGTTTTTACCATGTCCGTACAACTTCTAGGTGCTGCCCCCTAGTTTTAAGGACTTGATATAAAAGAAATGACGACCCAGCTGCAAAAGGAGAGACGGAACAGAGAATCATTTGAGGACATCAATTTTAGAGAACATTCAATATCCCTTTTCATCAAAGAAGGAGCTGGAGAAGGAAGCTGAACCTTGCGTCACTACTGAGCTGGGGAATTTCTCACCATTTCTACAGCTCTCTCGCTCGATGGAATCCATTTATCTTCTACCCATTGTTTTCCTTTCTTTTAGCATGAACTAAACCCCACTTTTTTT